TAAGTATTTCATTACGTGCTTTATTCCTAATACTTTCACACTAGTAATATTATAAGAAGGTAAGATTTAACTTATTGTTTGTGAGAATATAATCGATAAACTCCTTAACAACTGACGTCAATTTCAAAAAGTATTTTCACAAGCTCAAAACTACTGATAACACACAAAAATATATTATTCCCACGGGAAAACGGGTAACAGCCAGTGAAATTGCTGGGCTGGCGCCTAGGAGGACCCCACAAAAAGTTTAATATAATATACTCTAAACACATTTAAAAATACGTCTAACTTTTTTGTGTTAAAAGGCTCTATATTCCTAATACTTACTTTATAATTTGCATAACAAAGCAAACTTAGTGATTGCGATATGTTTATGCCCATCAGTGTTTGACGACCTTCCTGCGTGTTTACTGATCACAGCTGATACTATAGCTATAGCTGTTAAATGCTGTTAATATAGCTAGTGTGTTGTACACTGGCCTTTGGTCAAACGTGTATTTACACTAGTCTACTTACATTGTCAAAGTACCGAGAGACAAGTTCTACTGAACTGATTTTGATGAACTTTTCTGGGACTCTCCAGAAACGAAACCCTAAAACAGAAAAGATTCTCAAATACCCGTGAAATTGATGTTGCTTTGCGAAAATAGACATAGGTAATACTTGGACCTGCCAGCCGATAATATTTATTTAGTGCAAAATTTTGTACAAGTGGCTTAGAAGGACCAAAATTTAAATGTTTTTTTTTATCAATTTAATGAACGGGAAACTCACGCGTTCGATCCCTAATCTTTTTGGTGTTGTACCACTTTCGAGGCCGCGGCCCTTCTGCTACATCCCAAGTAGTTTATAATTTGCATAACAAAGCAAGCGTAGTGATTACGATATGTTTATACCGTATGCTATGTCCATCAGTGTTTGACGACCTTCCTGCGTGTTTACTGATCACAGCTGATACGCTAGTGTGTTGTACACTGGCCTTTGGTCAAACGTGTATTTACACTAGTCTACTTACATTGTCAAAGTACCGAGAGTCAAGTTCTACGGAACTGATTTTGATGAACTTTTTTGGGTCTCACCCGAAACGAAACCCTAAAACAGAAAAGATTCTCAAATACACGTGAAATTGATGTTGCTTTGCGAAAACAGACATAGGTAATAATACTTGGACCTGCCAGCCGATAATATTTATTTAGTGCAAAATTTTGTACAAGCGGCTTAGAAGGACCAAAATTTAAATGTTTTTTTTTATCAATTTAATGAACGGGAAACTCACGCGTTCGATCCCTAATCTTTTTGGTGTTGTACCACTTTCGAGGCCGCGGCCCTTCTGCTACATCCCAAGTAGTTTATAATTTGCATAACAAAGCAAGCGTAGTGATTACGATATGTTTATACCGTATGCTATGTCCATCAGTGTTTGACGACCTTCCTGCGTGTTTACTGATCACAGCTGATACGCTAGTGTGTTGTACACTGGCCTTTGGTCAAACGTGTATTTACACTAGTCTACTTACATTGTCAAAGTACCGAGAGTCAAGTTCTACGGAACTGATTTTGATGAACTTTTTTGGGTCTCACCCGAAACGAAACCCTAAAACAGAAAAGATTCTCAAATACACGTGAAATTGATGTTGCTTTGCGAAAACAGACATAGGTAATAATACTTGGACCTGCCAGCCGATAATATTTATTTAGTGCAAAATTTTGTACAAGCGGCTTAGAAGGACCAAAATTTAAATGACTTTTTTATCAATTTAATAAATGGGGAACTCACGCGTTCGATTCCTATTTTTTTGTGGCGTACCACTTTTGAAGCCGTAGCTCTTCTGGTACATCCCAAGTAGTTTATAATTTGCATAACAAAGCAAACGTAGTGATTACGATATGTTTATACCGTATGCTATGTCCATCAGTGTTTGACGACCTTCCTGCGTGTTTACTGATCACAGCTGATACGCTAGTGTGTTACACTGGCCTTTGGTCAAACGTGTATTGACTCTAGTCCCTTTACTTAACATTATTAAAATACCTACGTGCACACATAAGCCCAAAGCATTGATGGCGTAGGTCTCTATAACTAGCATGCGACCCGCGACATAGATTTTCTCTACACCCTTCTGTCAAAAGTCTTCACTTGTTTTGATAAATTCCATACGATTTTTTGTGACGTACCACTTTCGAGGGCGCAGCCCTTCTGGTACAGCCCTAGTAGTTTAGATATAATTTGCATAACAAAGCAAACGTAGTGATTACGATATGTTTATACCGTATGCTATGTCCATCAGTGTTTGCCGACCTTCCTGCGTGTTTACTGATCACAGCTGATACGCTAGTGTGTTGTACAATGGCCTTTGGTCAAACGTGTATTTACACTAGTCTACTTACATTGTCAAAATACCTTCGTGCACACATCAGCCCAAAGCATTGATGGCGTAGGTCTGTCAAGTCTCTATATAGGGTTACATTTAATTAAGTACAAATCTCTTGAGGGTGTGGTCTACTCACGAAACTGAACAACTTTTGTCAGAAACTTTTCTCCGAAGTATGAAAAAATATTTGGACCTCCCATACAAAAATGTTGAAAAAGTTTGTCACTTAGTTGAGATAAGTCTACAACCAAACCACTATAACCGAATCCAAAAAATATGGATTTCAAAATATGTAGAACTCCTAAAATAAGTATTTCATATTTTGAAACTAACTGCGAAGTCGGGTATTTTTTTTTTTTATTGCGACCTAACATACCTCCTTTTTAAAGTCTATTCTTCGTAGGGTCGTATTATAAGTAGCAAAATGTTATTTTATCCTTGTCCTCGGCAGGGCCTTGACACAATTAACTCATGGAAACTATGTCATATCTAGGAGCGTCCTTTACGTCCTTTGCTCAATGAATAAAGGATGAATAGGACCTCTAAAAAGCAGTTTTGCCGTGTGATGCCTTAGAATAGTATCACCCCATGATATATTTTTACCCGACTGCCTCAGAAGGAGGGTTATGTTTTTCGAGAGTATTTATGTATGTATGTATGAGGACAAGAAAAATCTTTTTCACGGGCTACAGCCCAAACGGATTGTTGGATTTTGACATAAAATATGTATGAGGTGTCGTTAGATTCGTCTTAGCAGCGCGTGTGACACGACACTGGATATATTAAAAAATTATAGATTCAAGATGGCGAATTTTTACAGCAAAATACAACTTCAAAATTACCGCAGTCGGGCTTTTCTGTTTTTTAACACATCTACTTGTTCAAGGCGGTCATAGGAAGCGACTCAGGCGACTAAGAGACAAGAGGATTTCAAGTGCAGTATAATTTTAAGCAACAGGTTGACAACCTGTCGCTATAGTGATACACAATATTTCAAATATTTATCAGATGTGGCGATAACAACCTTACTTTTAAGGTCGTTGATGCTCTACCTACCCCGTTAGGGAAAAGGCATGATGTGTATTTGTGTGTTTTTAGGTAGGTACGCAGTTTTTACAATTGACACGACGGAACGGAACGAGGGTACCTATATTCTGAGACCTATATGCGTTTGGGCTGAGATAATTTTTGGTCTGGTCTGATTTTGATGCGGTTTCACTTATGGCTTTGGACGTGATTGGTGCATGTTTAAGCTCACCAGGGTCATTTTATTCCTGTCCTCAGCAGAGCCTTGACACAATTAACTCATGGAAACTGTGTCATATCTAGGAGTGCCCTTTACCCTTTACGTCCTTTAGTGAATTATCCTTTCGTTGACCTTCCTTAACCAACGTCACAGAAAATCTTACATACATACGTATAACAAATATGTACATTACAATTGATTAGATTAATTTATTTCATATTATCAAATTCACAGTGATAGTGCTGAAATTCAAAATGTCAGAACATAATGTACCTACATAAATAATCGTCAAAATGAATCATGTTATTGTAATTTTTAATTTACCAAAATCAAAATTTATATTCTACATTATTATTATAAACAGAAATGGTTTGTTTCTATGTTATTAATAAACTCCGAAACTACTAGCAACAACAACTTTGAAATTACCGCAGCCGAGTTTTTCTTTTTTAATACATTTGCTTGTACCTGTAGCGTTAAACCTTTATTACTTTTTCATGGGGTACTATGCCGTATGCTTGTATGTATTGGCCTCATATTAAGTACATGAGAATGTTTTTGATGGGACCATGTTTTGTAGATAATAAGACAATAATAATAAAATGTACAGGAAACAGGAGTCAAGTTTATAAAACATAAATATTGTAAAAGTTGGCAGGCAGATCAAAAGGAATATTTAGGAAGAGGTATAGTATAAAAATATAAATACTTTACATAATTTTTTAATTCTTACGGTAGCTATTTTTCATAACATCACGCGGAAATGGAATCCACAGAAATTATTTTATTTTGTGAAGTTTATATGAAGTAGAGAAAGAAAATATGAATGAATTAGTATACTATAGCAACCCGTTAGCGGTTTCACTCGCTCCAAACTTATTTTATTTTCCCGCGGGAAAAAGACATTTTCGTGGTATGTGTTATGCATATAAATCTTCCTTTTGAATCACCCTATCTATTACAAAAGCCGCATCAAAATCCGTTGCGTTCCTTCATGCCGATTTTCAGCTTTCTTTAAACTGCCCGCTAAGTGGGAAGCGGTACAAACACTATTTCCTCATTTCGTAGATTGACAGGTCCCGGCCGGGGCGCAGCGCAGCAGTAAACACTTAGTAGGTATGTGGCTGTCATATCTTTATGTATTACCATTAAATGTGGTCATGAAACCGTTATGCAAGTACCGCGACACGTGGAGTGAGTCAGTTTATTAAACTGTTTGTTTGTGTACATGCATGCGTCGTCTGCGCTTGCGCACACGTGTCAAACGCAAGTACAACTTTTGGTTGGGTTGGGACAAGGATAAGCGTACATACGAGAGGTTTCGCGCTTAAGGGGGTCAAGTCAAGTAGTAGGTACGAATTTTTGGAAAACTTCTAAAATTTCACCGCAGGCAGGATTTGAACCTTCGGCATCAGTACTGCCGACGCCCTAACCAACTGGGCTACCGCGGTTCTAATCGAGCCCACGAAATTAAGGAAGTGTATCTTGTCCACTATCGCGTGGATGGGCTCCATCTACCGGGATAGTTTTGCAACTAATTCCCAGCGACTAATTCATTCTTTACAGATTGAATGTAGTCAAAGCGATGAAAACCCGCGATAAATTGAATACCAAATTTTATAACACTTCTCGTGTTAGGTAAACAATTTTTGGAAAACTTCCAAAATTTCACCGCAGGCAGGATTTGAACCTGCGACCTTCGGCATCAGTACTATACTTCACGTCTTAGGGAAATAATCAAAAATTGTTTACCTAACACGAGAAGTGTTTTAAAATTTGGTATTCAATTTAGTAGGTACTACTACGAAGTTTACAAGAGTCACTCTATTATATACTTCTTCTTTTTGCCCTTAATCCGAATCAAATGAGGGATTCGGCAATGTTTTATTACCGGGCGCCTGCCTGAAGTTAACACTCTTTGGGAATGCTATTGTAGGTGATATTTTATGAAACACCCTGGGTGTATATTTCACACTTTTAACTCGCAGATAACCCGCTACGTTACTGTTTGTAAAAGTCATTTAAAAACAGAAATATTGATATAAATAGAAAACATGGAACTACGCCTTTTTTTGGGCATGATTCACCATAAAAATTTAAAATGCTTTATGTGCGAGTTGAAAAATCGTTCGGCTGGTCGTATTTTTTGTCCAAAGCAAATTACTTCCGAGGAATTGAGGCTGGTTAAGGTTTTACGCGAGTCATTCTTTAACGCATTTTGTACGAAATGTGGAATATAACAAGTAAAATGTTCAGAGTTAGACGGACCTCCTTCAGTTGTGACTTAAATGAACATTTTCTTACTTTCTTTCTTTCATAATTTTCTTCTTCATCGAGTCGATGATTACCTTTCGGGTATAGAAAAAGCTCTGGCTTTCAATATCTACTAGTACTATTTTCATTACCTTTTGTGGATAGAAATACCCCTGGATTTTGTTATCTACTACTCCTATTTTCATTGCGTGCTATGTCTGTCTAGGTCTACGTATGTGACAATTTGTGAATGGAACTGCAACAATGTTATAATCTCAGTTATAACTGCGCACTTGTCGTCTAGTATTTTCAAAACAGAAAATAAGTAGGTTAGGTTGATAACTAGAGTAGGTACCTAGTTATTGAAAGGAAATTGGATTATTTTTCGAATTAAATTGGTCAGAAAAAAAAACGAAAGTTACTAAATACAATAGAAAAGGGGAAAAAGAAAGGATACCTGTTACGACATGATCAGTTATTTAAGTCAATTCTTGAAGGCAAGTTTGAGGAAGAAGTGGAAGAGGAAGACTAAGGAAAAACTATCTAGATCAAATAAAGGAGAAAATAACGCCCATGTCGTATAATATACAACGTATATAGTAATCAAGGCGAAGGCAGAAGACGGAAAAAGCTGACGAATACTACACCGACACGCGTAATTCCAATTTAGAAGATACAAATGTTGTACAAAGTTCGCCATGTGATGCCGGCTTAGAATAGCATCACCCCAATTCTACCCGTGGGTGTCGTAAAAGCGACTAAAGGATAATCATCTAGAGATTGGGCAGCAGCGTTCCCTGTAAATGCAACATCTTAAACTGCGCACGTCAATCCGCCTGCCAAGCGTGGTGAGTATGGCAATACCCCCCGATAGGGGGAGGCCCATGTCCAGCAGTGGACTCTTGTGGCTGTTATAGATTGACAAACAGGAAAATCGCAATCGTAAAAAAATAAATAGGTACAATAGTTATTTACACTTGCACTTATCAAATTCTTTAGAATTTTAAGAATGTGACATACTCATTTACACATTTTAAAGTCGATCAAAAATACTACATACCTCTTAGTGCTTCGACAAACTACGACCGAAATTCGGCGGCTGGATTCCGTTCCGTCAGTTTTCGGCGTTTTCGGTTGGGGATGACACACTATAAGCGCCGAAATTACGTACAAATCACGCCGAATTACTTCGAGCCGAAATTCGGCGACGTAATTCAAATAACATTGCTGGCGTAATAAATAATTCCGTCACGTAATTTCGGTCGTAGTGTGACGAGGTACTTAGGTATTTGTATTACGTTGTTTGGAATCAATACGTCAGAGGGCAGTAGTATAGCGAACCCACGAAAATGGCACCCAGCCAAACTGTCACGTTGACAACGTAAATTCTTATCATATTGCAGCTGCGTCAACTTTATTTATCGATTAAATATCTTTAGATCCCTAAAGGCCAATCCGGCGGTTTCACCCGCTAACAATTTTCCCGTAGGAATAAGATACCTACTTATTTTCCCGTGGTAAAAAGTAGCCCATACTAAGGGATGATGTACGGTCACGTGCAGTGTTACCTGGGGCCCGTTTAATAAAGCTGACAATTGTAATTCACGATGACAATTCAATGTTCATTGCGCCGTCAACGAGCCAATTCGCTACCAAGAACTAAAACAATTCCTGTGACAATTCTTACAAGCTTCGCAATGTAAATCGAACTGTCATTGTAAATGACAATTCGCTACTTGACAGGGTCATAAATAAAATACAAAAGATGCATGCTTGAAAAAGTGTCCAAAATACTACAGACTTCATTCATCGTTTGCCAAAATAATAAAAGTTAGAATTTTTAAACAACAAAATTTTATAAAAGTTTTTGTTTTGGCTCCATTCAAAATATTGAATTATGACGTCATATTTCTATAATTCCATACAAAATATCGTTTTCGGACGTCTAAGGCGCAAACTCCACCAAAAAGACGAGGGCATAGGACGTAAGAATGACAGTTGACAGACAAGTGATCGTCAAATATTCTTCTTAGTTTTTGACGCTAGCTGTCATAGATGCGACGCTTTGGCGACGCTTGTGTGTGCCTTTGTCAATACTTTTTCGTACATTTTGTATGGAAACGTCGCGATGTCAAACGTCAAGCGTCATGCCCTACGCCCTATGTCCTTTCCTTGTCCTCTCTGTGGAGCTTGGGGCTTAAAAAGTAGCTCATTTGACCTGTCAGTCAAGTAGCGGATTGTCAGCTTTATCAAATGGGCCCCTGACCTCTTGTTGTCAGCTACGGGGAGAGTTGCAGGTGACTACTAATGGCGAAAGAATTTTCTTATTCGTACTGTAGTTGTTTTGAAGCTTATCGAAACAAATAAACAAATATTTTTGTCTTTATGATATTTGTGTAAAAACTACATGTTTATCGAATAATGACACGAGAATTTCTTCGAGTGCAAATGCGCAATAAATAGGTGATAAAATTTAGCAAGTACTAACTGGTTCAATAAAGAATAGGATTATAAATGGCGGGGGTTCCGTCAGTAGTAAGGGGAAAGCATGACCGCCTGGTGTATGCAAAAGCCAAATCGGTCAACCAGGTACGATTTATAAAGTTTCGTATTTATCGACATTCTAAAAAAGGAATTACTGTACGTTTTTCTGATCGTACGTAGCCTGATAACAAGTTCAGTGGAGACTGAAAAGGACGTTACGAAGGAAAAACATCATGAGATCAGCCTGATTTGACTTCCATGAACCAACAACTCGTTTGTTGACTACAGACTACTACTACTATGCGCATAACAAGTCATAATATAAAATACACGCAATAGAACTGAAAAAGTGCTGAATTCAATTTGATGTAATTTGTTGCGACCCGTAAGTCAACCAATTCCTAAACCAATCAAAAAGAATAATTGAAACATATTGAAACCGGCAAGTAGTTTTTGAAATTAGGTATAAGTATAAGTGAACATAAACATACCTACAAAAAATATTACTTTTGGGAAGCATTTTTTAGGACTATGATAAGGATAATTTTAAACCTTCCATCAAACATCTTATCGTACACATATGTACTTCCCTCTAAAATATTATTCTAAAACACTTTTAATTATTTTGCCACAATTAAACTGATTCGTTATCAAAATATGTTGCGCAAAAATTATCAAAATTTCCACCAATATGTAACACATTTTTATTCTCACGCGCAGCAAATATTCTTTTCTTACAGTAGATAAATTATTCTTGCCCAAAATATACTAATGTTACACATTTTTTCCAAATTGATACACAAAATATCTAATAGGAATCTTATAATGGTTTGTATGATACATACATAATACAATTTTAAACCTTCTTGTTTAAAGTCGGTTAAATAATTAGGTACCTATGCACCGCTGACTAAAACGTCAGTTACCTTACAACTATGTAGATATCTATTCCTTCCGATGAACTTTGAAACAATTATGTACCTACAGTATAAACGAAGTATGTTAGTAAGTATGTATGCTCATTGAGCATTTATTGCTTAGTTTAAATTATCAAACTACGCGCTTACGAAAACATTTTATCAGCATATAAATTGCCAGTAATATAAACAACTTACACTAGAATATTCCTTTGTGAATCCAACATTCCTATATTTTTACAACTGCTGCCAAGGGGAAAGTCAAAATTCCACTACAACACTTTATTTACCACCTTTCCACCACTTTCCACAGAATCACTTTCAAACACAACAATTTCACTGAAAACTTTGCATTGTAAATTCCTTAAAGTTTTATTTTAATAGCGGAAGACACGTGCTATCTTCACGTCGCGATTCATGTAAATAAATAGCACTGGCCGAATGTTATCAAATGGGCGTTCCAAATTCAAACCACAAAAAATATGACATTGGCTCTAATATTATTTTTTTGTGCGATACTGGCTGGTGCTACGTTCCGTATAACGCAAGGAACTCGCAGATAAACAAAGAAACTAAAAATATAAAACTCCAATATTATTTTTTTGTATGTGATACTGGCTGATTTCACGTTCCGTTCCGAATAACGCTAGGAAGTAACAGATAAACAAAGAAAGAACACGGTATTCTATTGGCTGAACGCGCGATAGGTCCGCAGCGCGTCAGCGACTTTATCGAATGGAGGCATGAACTCTATAATATTATGCAGGAGTTCCCAAACTATGTGCAGCGACACTCCG